TTGCAGAGAAGTTGATGTGGAAAAGCGGAAACACCTTACTTGGCTTCAGGTATAGGTTTGAGTCTCCACCGATGTCACCTTGGGCAAACCCTGATGTGTTTCTGACCTAGAATGTCTGCTGCTCTTCTTTTTTTCCCCTTTCAATATTTTATTGTGGAGAGGGAGCGGTGGGGGGGGGCGGCGCAAGACGGCCATGTAGTTAGACAAGCCTTGTAACAGTCCTCTTTAACAACAAAGACCTGAGAAAACCAGTGATTTGCATTCATGTGACCACTTTGGAACCCTGGAGCATCACAGACCAGGTGGAGGAATTGGACTGCGTGCCAAGCGGAAGGAGAGACAGCACAGAATCAGTGGGCACAGAGACTGATGGATCACCGGCACCTTGCCAGATGAGCTTGCGTAGCTCAGCCACACTGAGACAAAGCCTGCAGTGTTCCCAGCCCAAGCCCCCGTCACCTGCTGCAGATGGTGGTGGGGGTGGTGGGGGTGCTCTACACTCCCATCCAGTGCACTCACCTCCCTCGCTGCGTCTGCTCCCTTCCCTTCCCATGTTGGAGACCTATCGCTCTGCTGTGTTCCCTCATCCTCTCATCCCTACCCCTGCTCCCTGAACACATGATTTTTGGTCTGGCGGCACCTACTGCTATGTCTCCTGAGCCAGAGGCCCATGGCTTTGGCGGTTCCTGCTTCACTGCCTGGCCACCAGCACAGGGGGGAGGGGGTGGAGGGCTACAGAAGGGCAACCCCTCCTACACCTACCATTTGTGCCCACAAACCATTAGTGCCCACTGTTCTTCCCCGCCACCCAGGCTCAGAGCCCACCAATCACCAATGCGCCCTACTTCCTCCAGCCACCCATGCCAGGGTCCTAAGGATTGGTACCACACCCTTCCCAGCATCCTGCATTTGTGCACCAGGCCATGCTCCTGTCATGGGCATCCATGGACTGCTGGCGTACCTCCTGCCTTGCTTCCCAGACAGGCTCTCTGCAAATAGCGACTTGTCCACTCCAACAACCCCGCACCCCGAGTGCCAGAGTAGAAGCAAAAAACCATCAATATGCTGTCCACAAGAGACACCATAGACACAACATAAATATGCCCATTGGTGATAGTTATGTTTTATGTCAACTTGGTTGGACCAGGATCCTCAGTAGTTTGGCACTAAAACACCATCAAAGGGGTGGGGACAAGATAACAGGCCAACAATGATCCCACATTAGTAGGAGTGGCAATAGTAATCTCTAAATAAAAGGGACTTTAAGGCAAAATGCACCATAAGAGATAAGGGCATTATATACAACGATTAAAGAATCCGTCCACGAGGACAGAACCTGGTACTGGTATGAAGGCACACAGAACAATGGAACCTAATTGAGGACCCAGAAGTCAATCCAGCTCTGGACAGCTGATCTTCACTAATAGGTCAAGTCCACTCAGTGTGGAAAAGATCTCCAAGTAAATGGTGCTGAAATGTCTGCATGTAGGAAGATGAAACAGAACTTACACCTCACACTATACACAATAGCAAACTGAATGGACCGAAGACCGAAATATCAAACCTAAAGTGATGAAGATAATGGACGAAAATATAGAGGCAAGACCAGGGGCCCTGCTCTGTGGAATGACTAGATTACCAAACATAACTAAAATGGGACTGTGGGGAGCAGAGAATGGGAAGAGTGTTTATACGGATGAGTCCTTAAGTTTAGTCTTATATATTAAGGAGTCTAGCAGGCTGGGTTTCTGGGATGGTGTGAGGCTTTTACCCTTGTGAATTTGAGGTGAGTCCCAATCACATTCTCACAATGTTGTTCCCCACTGTATCCTCCCATAATTTTGGTACCTTAAAGTTACCTCTTACAAGCACATGGCTGATTTTCACTGTGTAGCCGGCAGCTTGTTCTATAGGAGCAGATGTGCTATTGCTCTCCACGCTCTGAAGACAGCCACACCCCCTTTACCTGCTCTAGGCATTGGTGTTAGGTTACTCTTCCAATATACTCAGGGACCTTTAGGGTTACCGTGCAGCCCACTTTGTTATGTATGTGGTTACCTGTAATTAGAGGGACTTGCATGCCCCCTGGAGTGTATATAAGCCTTGGTTGGAAATATATTCTCTCTCTCTGCATCGACCTGGTTCCTGAAGTCATGACTGCGAAGGTGAGCACTTGCATTCTTTCTCTTGTCTGATGTCTCTTTAATTTTATCCTTCAATAATACAACTGCCCCTTGGACCCATTCAATTGTGGGGGCTGGTACCCCACCTGAGACTTTCTAGAAATTAACGACTCAGGCTCATCAAAAGACTTAGCCAAAGAGTGGAAAGAAAATCCTACAGACTGAGAAAAAGCCTCTTAATTTATCTAAGTTCTAATCTATATTTTTAAAAGAAACTTGAACACCTATAAGACAATTAGATAATAAGATCATCTAATTAGACAATAAACGTAATAAAAAAACACATTCTGGAAGTTAACAGCAAAATTTTATCACCACACATTCTCTCTCCTTCTCTCTCTCTCCCCTCCCTCCCTCCATGACTCCCTCCTTGCTATCCTGCCCATTCCTACTCATAGTGACCCTATAAGACAGGGTAGAACTGCCCCTCTTGGTTTCCGAGACTGTAACTGCGAGCCTCATCTTTCTCTGGTGGATGGGCTAGTAGTTTCAAGCTGCTCAACCCAATGCATAACCATCCTGCCACTAAGGCTCTGTTAAAGACATTAGGGAGACGTATATCAAAACTACAGTGACATGTCCTCTTACCCTGACACTAATAAAAAAACACACGATAAAAAGCAAGCCAGAAAATTACAAATGTTCGCCAGGCTGTGGGGATATTACAACTCTTATGCACTGCTATTAGGAATGTAAAATGGTACAGCCACTATGGAAACGGTTCCTTAAAAAAACTAGAAATACAAAACCAAGCACCATGACATGAATAGATATAACCGTTAATTGTCGCATTATTGGCAATTGGGGAAACATGGACAACTAAGTGCCTGTTAATGGACAAACTGGCGTGGAGACACAATGGAGTACTACGCAGTGGTAAAGAATAACCGTAGTCTTCAAAACATTTTACAACGTGGATGAGTTTGGAGTAGAGAGAGTTACTTACAAAGGTTACAAATATGTGGGGCTTCACGAACCTCGAAAATCCTATTTTGATTTCATTTTTCACGTGCTTTTTGAAGCCCATTCATATTATA